CTCCTCTCCTCTCCTCTCCTCTCCTCTCCTCTCCTCTCCTCTCCTCTCCCCTTCCCTTCCCTTCCCTTCCCTTCCCTCCTCTCTTTCTTTCTTTCTCTTCTCAGATTGAACTTCTGAAACAAGACCAAAGTTCACCTGAGCTGGTACCAAGTACAGGTCTCTCCTGGCTGGGTGAACTTTAGAAAGGAGGAGAAAAGGATTAGGGTAAACATTTGCTTCATGGCAGAAAAATTGGACGGGTTGAATTTGGCCAAAACTAGTTTGTTTACATTGTGGAGTTTATTGTTTTATGTAGCCAGTATTGTCAGTGGCTTTGTTTCCAGTCTCTTTCTTCTTCATCTTTGTTCCAATTCCTTGCAAACTGGGTCTTCTGTGGTGCAAAGCATCCTTTCTAGGAACAGAACTCAGAATTTTTTGCAGGGATGTCCCTCAGTGTTTAGAAGCCAACCGTGAAGAGTTTTGTGCCTCTTCAAGGTTTAGCTGATGTTCTTATGACATAATGCAGCATTGTGTTAATTGCTGTACAAGTTTTGATGTGAGAATAAAATAGATGGGGCATTAAGATGGCACTAAGCTCTTCAGTTTTGGTTTGTGCTTCAAAAGTTGCTACTTTCTGGGAACTATTCCAGTGTATGTTTTTAAGTGGGTGAGTTGAAGTTTCTACTTTGCTCCCAACTTTGGTCTTTCTATGTCGTGGGTACATAAAATGTAGATCAGGACTGAGTAAGAATCTGAATACTCTGCAGTAAAATTGCAAAACAGCTTTCTAATTTCTTATTGCTTTAGAAGAGCAACAGCTAAAGAGCCACGACTTCTATTCTACTGGTGGAAACAAATGTCTGAGTTGAGCAAATATGGGGTGGTGAGGTTTTGGGGGGGGGCAATTATACAAAAGTAGTTTGCAAATGCCTTCCCTTAGGATATTTTTCTTTTACTTCTCCATCTAGCCTATAGATCTGAAATTTTCTGGAAATCTCCCATCCAAGGACTAACCAGATCTGGTTCTATAAAGAGGTTTTTATTGGATTTGGGAGCACGAAAGGAATGTAGAGTACAGCCTGTTAATTGTGCTATGAAAGTCCATGTTTATCACTTGGCTCTCTTTTTTTCCAGGACAGTGATCCCAAAATGGGTTCATCCCATTCTTCGATCTGTAGCGGAAGAAATAGAATCCTTTGTTCCCCAGCCTTATCGAGGAGAGATTCAGGGGCTTTCCGAAGTCCTGGGGATTAACGTTGGTGATGGACTCTTGCTCAATATGGCCTATGAATTCACCGCGTGAGTGTTGGGATGAGCTCTGGGTCTCAGGAGTGGGGAGAGAAAATCCGTTGCTGCAAGGGGATGTTGCAAAGATCAGGAGAGGGCAAAAGAGTGTCTCCTCCACAGGCTTCCTTAGTAAAATTTTGTCAGAAAAGAAAAGGTTGATTGCCAGCAGAAGCTGATGGCACAAAGGAGATGATTTCCGAGTGCAGTCAGGTTGTAGATAAGCCTTCTCCTTCCTCGTGCTCTCTGAAAGAATGCTTGGACACCAACAATCCATTGGTCAAACAGTGTCATCTGATGAGACCCAGGAAGTGGACCATCTCTGTTGCAGTGCCTGCGGTCTGGAACAGCATCCCCACAAAGATCTGTGTGGCCTCTCCCCTTTGACCTCATTTCAAAGGTCGCTAAAAACGTGGCGTTTCCTGCAAGCCTTGGCTAGAGTGGGTGATAATAGGCTTATGAACTTTGGTTTTATTCCCCTCCAAATGGGCATCATTCTTTTTCTTTGTTATATTGTTCCATGTTTTGTTTTGGGTTTTTTTGGTCTTCTATGCTTTCCAGAGTCCAGTGGGGTCAGGCAGCCTTCTATAAAATTGTGTCAGCCCCAGAAGATAGACCCAGCTAAGAAACCAATGCCATATAGGCCAGGACTACTTTTATTGTTACAGCTATATAATAACAGAATCTTGCCAGTCTGAATATGCTTCTCCCTCCCTCATTTTATCTTCATGTGAACTAGGGAGGGGCTTATCTGAGTGGCTTTCTCATATTACTTTCTTGGCCTGAGCTCAAACCCTGCTTATCTGACCATTGTCTTAGTAGCGGCTCTTCCTTCTGTCCTTCAAGGCCATTCCCTATTCCCCCTACAACTTGATAAATAACCAGTTTCCCCCCAGTCTCCAGCAAACATGGCAGTTGGGACAAGGCTGTGCACCAGATACCTGTTTCAAGTGGCAGCCAGTGCTTGTTCCTGATCAGTCCTGATTTGTCCCATCTGCACAACAATGGAAGTTTTCTCTACTAGAAAACAGTGATTTTGACACTTGTAGTGTTGCAGCGAAGAATATCACTCCAGGCTCTGGTGGAAACATCAGACTATCCTTACTTTGTTCACCATTGCAGATTCATATATCTGAAACCAAGAGGCCTAGGTTCAAGTGTCCATGTGTCCTTTCAGAAAGTGGAAGCTGGCACTCAGGAGGTGCCTTTACAGAGGGGTGATCTCTGCTCGGAAATAGTCCTTTGAAACTTTGTAGTGCATTGGGCAGGGAAAAGTATGTAATACACCTATGAATAACCATATGAATAATATTTTAATTGCACTTAATTGTAAATGAAATAAAATCCCAGATTTTGCATCGCTGTAAATTTGTCTTAGTTCTCCCTGTGCTGTTCTTGGTCCAAAAACATTGTGGGAATGAGGAGTCACGGTGGGTACATGAATTTAGAAGCTTAGCCTTGTTTAACAAACTGCCACCCTTTTTCTTTTGCAGATTCTGCACCAGTATTGTTGCTCAAGATAAACAAGGAAATATATATCATGGTCGGAATATGGATTATGGGTTTGGAGATATTTTACGCAAGCTTACCATCGATGTGGATTTTATCAAGAATGGGCAGGTACAAAAAGGGCCTGGCAGTGACCAAAAGTTATTGAGAGCAGCGTAGGAAAACAGTTCATTTTGCTGTATATACATTTAGTCGCCAAACCATGTATCGTCAGTAAATCAACTGTATTGCAAGCATTTGCTTGTCAGAATCTCTCTATCCAATTTTTATAAACATGACCATCCATAAAGTTTGGTGGTAAAAAGAAACACCGGATTGTTCCAATTTTTTTAAAAAATAATTTATTTATTTTAAAAGGAAAAGGAGAGAGAAAAAAAGATACATGTAGTCCTAAAGTTACAATGGTCCCAGAAGGTAGAGCACTTCCAGCCATCATAAAACATTGCGCCCCCCCGCAATCACATGACTGCATTTCACCCTGCGATCATGTGATCACCATTGGCAATCTTCTCTGCCAACTTTCCCAGAAAGTCAGTGGGGAAGCCAGCAGGGAAGGTTGCAAGTGGAGGGGACAGAGGGGAGCTGAAATCCTGTGGGCTGCAGGAATGGAACTGAAATCTTCAGGATTTGAGCTCCATTCCTCCAGCCCGCTGAAGGATTTCCCCTCTATGCACAGAGGGGAAATCCTTCGGCGGGCTGCAGAAACATTTGAGAGTGAAAGGGCTGCCTGCCGGGAGGATTTCAGCTCTGTGCAGAGCTGAAATCCTTCAACAGGCTGCTTTTTTGCTCCATCTGCTTAACAACCCAGGAGATCGCTTTACGACCACAACCGGGAGTGCCCAGATTGCAGCCATTGAGCAAAACAGTCACGCAGGTGTCTCGCTTAATGACCACTTTGCTCAATGATCGAGATTTCGGTTCCAATTGTGGTTGTTAAGCGAGGACTCCCTGTACATAGAAATTGCAAAATACAGATATTATATGGAAACGTTTGTAGAGTAGTAGTAGATAAAATGCGAAGAAAATGCAAATAATTTCACTGGAAGATAAAACACAATAAAAAATGTTTTTTTATCGTGGTGGGGTAGAAATATGTTAAATAATAACCACAGTAAATGCTTGATTTAAACTGTTGTGAAACTCTTTATATTTGTTCTAGCCCAAAGTCAAGTTTAACCCTTTAGCACTTTCAAAACTCTTATATTTAACTCATTAAAATCACATGATAGAAGCTAAGTCATCTATAAGAGTTGCAACAAGCTGCTGTAATTATGTAGTCTTCTGTCCTTGTACTACACAACAAATAAGAGGAGTATTCAAGTGTCCATTTCCATTTTTGTTGAGTGGTGATAGGTGTCATCTCTGCCAACTTCCACTCCCAGTCTGTGATGCTGGCTTTTTAAATAATAGTTCCGATGAACTCCGGCTCCATTTCTGGATAACGTGGCAAGCAGCTCTCAAGTGACAGGCAAGAGAGGAGAAAGGCTGAGGAATATAAATAATAAAATGAAACAAACTCCATAAACTTTGCACTGAGCTGGTTTGAGGAAGAATCAGTCAAATGCAGAAATTTTGCTTCCTTAGATGTGTTCCTCTTTTTTTGCCTTAGTAAACAAAATATGACTTATAACCTTATAACCTAAATAAGTATTTTAACTCTTAGGCTCTTATTCTACATTTAAGTAAAGATTTATGGGTTTTCATCAAGTTAAATTACTTACAACTTCCCTGATCTGTTGCTATTTTGGAGAGAACCTAACATTGAAAACAATTAGGCATAAGTGTAGCTTCTACTGTCTTTTAATTTTCAGGTAAAATTCAAAGGCACTACATTCTTTGGTTATGTTGGTTTATGGACGGGGCAAAGTCCACACAAGTTTTCAGTCTCTGGGAACGAGCGTGGTAAGGAACACTTATTTTTACTTGGATAAGGTGTTAATTTGCGGACTTAGTGGCCTTGTTCTGAAGACTAATACCAATGTTGAAACAACTGTAAGGAATGTCTGTTAGCTACCGAGCCAGGTTCAGATTGGGTTTTAGTACATGAAGCCCGGAACAACCTGGGACTTGTAGGATCTAGAATTCTTTCAGAGAAGGCAGGTTGAATTTTTTTCCTCAAAATTAAGATGTGCTGCACTCCTTAAAAAGACAGAGCAGTCCTTGAAAATTCAGAATTCCTCCCAGTGTTCCTGTTTTAGTGGCATTATTTTCTCCCCATCAAGTTTCCCCCTGAAGTTCCAAACATAAAAATATGAAATCTGAAAATTGTAGCCCCATCCACTTGGGTGACATCAGTTCCATGGCAGGTGAGAAAGAGGAAATACGGCCCCAAATCTGAAGAAGTTTGCTCATCCCTAAGTTGATCTAAGTTGAGGTTCTGCAGACTACCATATTGTGGCTGTATGCAAGCAGGTCTTTATCAGGGATGTCCGCAGGGTGGGGTGAGGGGTTCAAAAATGTCAAGATGGTGACTGTGACCGTGTGATTGAGGCTTCACACCTCTCCTATGAGCAGCGTGGGTGCATGTAAAAAGAGGCAAGGCTTTGATTGCACACTCATAATTGCCATCTTGAGTCTTTGAGCTCTCTCTCCTGCAGATGCTCCTGCTTTCTCTCCAGTGGCACCCTCTTTTAGAAATATTCTTTGCAGATATTCAAGAGACACATGAAGTGATTATCTTTGGGTGTTTTTAAAGCATCAGTGAAAGATAATATGTTCAATGGGGCCTTGATTAGGAAGGGGAAGACCCAAGTTCATGTCAATGCTCAGGCATGGAAGCTCACCAGAGTGCCTTGGGCAGTCCATCTCTTTCAGCTCCATCCACCTCTCAGGATGTTTGTTGTGGGGGAAAATTGGAGGAGGGAGCACTAAGTATGCCTCTGTGAGCATCTTCAGAGAAGGTGAGATCAAAGTTAAATAAATAAGCACACGTCCTTATAGACTTCATTTGATGTTTTATGTTAAATATCTTAATAACTATAATTTTATATGCTTTCCATTTTAAGTACTTTAATCCATTTAATTACACTCTGTCTACAATTTTGAAAAAATACTGGGCGTAGGAAGTGGGATTAAAACAGATTGCAAGCATACCGGCAGTATATATTCAATTTCCGTCAGCTCTATGAAAAAAGAAGTTTGTGTAATGTTGGCACTTGACTTGGAAAACCAATTTTGAACTAGGGAATGTAGGAGCCTTGGTGGCAATTGGGGTAAAAAAGAAAACAGGTCATTTCTCCAGTTGATGTACTTTTGAAAATAAGACTTGCAATAGATAGACTTGCAATTAAAGGCTTGCAATTAAATCTATGGCTGGATTTAATAATATGTTAAAGGACACGGCTAGTTCTATATTAACATTTTATGGATATATTTTTAGTTTCCACAAATGTCACTAGTTAATAAATTCTGCATATTCTTTTTTGATTGTATTAGCACTGTTATATTTTTGGTACTTCATCATATGTACTTCATCATATCCTCTGGTTGTTATACTTACCAATAAGAAAGGAAGAATAACTGAAAAAAAGAAAAGAAAAGGAGACCTGCTTTAGTTTCCAAGTTCTCAACAAAGCTCAACTATATGCATTACAGTTGTTGTTTTTTCTTGTGGATTTACAGTAAGGATAAGAGAAATGTTTAACAAAAGAGTTCCCTTTTGGACAAAGCAGAAGTAAGCAGAGTGATACAGTGTCACTGCAAAATGAAGAATTAGAAGAAGTAGCTGGCCACGGTCTGGTAAATTGGTGCTTTGTAACATGGAAGTCATTTTGCAAAGGGGCACAGTCCCCCAGAGGCC